AAGATGTCCTATATAAAAGGCCTATTTAAGGCCGTTAGAGGCCGCGACCGGGGCAGTATTGAATTGGGGATACAAGCGAAGCTTCGGAGCGAAATAAAGTGAACTAAAGTGATCCGTGTGATTAATTATTAGTGTGTTTTAAGTTTTAATTGGTGTGCAGTAATTAAAGTGTCAATTTTGGTAATTCAATCGGCAGTTTTTATTGTCACGAACCCTAAGCTCGTAACAATGGGTATGTTCCGAAATACAACGCAGTGTACTGTCCAATGCAAATGACGTCATGAATCGACGCTATACTGGTGATTCGTTCCAAAACATTGGACAGTATATGACGTCATACTTTTGCGCCATTTGGAAAAGTGTTGGCGATTATTTTGTCATTTTGTGCTCCAAAAATCATTATATCCTCCTAATGGAAATACCATCAATTATCCTATAATTTTTTGTATTTGAATAAATAGAAACAAATTCTGGCATGCTTCATTCGGCAAACACACAATTAAAAATTGTTTTATTATGGCCGGATATCCGACACAATATGGCGGCGGTACGCTAGTACAATAAAGTGTCAAATGATAAGTCATTTGCATTGGACAGTACACTGCGTTGTATTTCGGAACATACCCAAGATATATTCAGACGTATCCATTGATATTCTCCAATATCCAAAACCTTTTGAGTTTACGCTCGCAATTTACAAAGTGTGTGAAATTCTCCTTTTTCTCTGGGTAAATTGATTTAATTAATTCCATTTTTCACATGTAGAATTTGCCATTTAAAGTACGAGGGGCACACTGAAATGACCAATAACAATAAGAAAACCACGTGCACGGTATAGCTAAATTGTATTTTATTGTTTTTCGAAGTATTCCCCGTTCAACTTAATGCACTTTTGCATTAAAAACAGTAATTCTAGTCTGAAGTTGATATTGACAAAATGGCTGATTTATACGCTTCCACAGCTGCTTCGGGGTCTTCAAACCGTTGACCGCGTACCTAATAAATTTTTCATTCTAGGGAATGTAAAGATATCGTTTGGGCTCAGGTCAGGACTGTACGGAGGACGGCTCATCAGCGCAACATTCTCCTGTTTCAAAAAATCATTTGTCTACCGAGCCGTATGGGGGAGCTCGCATTATCGTGATGTAAGATGCGACGTTTCAGGTTATTTTTTCGGAGTTCCGCTATCATTCCTGGCAAACAAACCATGATATACCCACTCAACGGTAACCGTTCTGCGTTCCTGTAAAGGAATTGTAGCAACATGTCCCTTTTTCGAGACAAACGTAGCGACCATTTTCTTGGACACGCTGCTGTAATGAACCACTTTCGTTGGTTTGACCTCGTCTTCGAAGACCCAAAATGCTGACTGATGTTTTCTTTCAGGTTCGTATGAATAAAACCATGATTCGTCACCCGAGAAGGTCACGGAGGGACGCCGCACTCTACTGCGGACAGTCGCGTCGCGCCCGTACCGCCGCTTTTTAGTCTGGCATCATTAGCCGCGTACTGACCAAACGAGCGGCTTCGCGAGTCAGCCTCGGACATTTGTCGCAGTACGCATGCCGCGCGAGGCGGCCTCAGTCTATAAGTTTTCTAATCCGAGGCAGCCTCGCGCGGCAAGGCCAAAGTGAGCATCGACGCTCAGTTTAATTTGAAGTCGAATAGAGACCGCGCGTGCGTATAGTTTGCCCGAGACCACCATGAGGCCGCACATTCGAAAAGCTGTCGCTACCACTGCCTTTTTAATAATTCTAAGGCTTGCAAAAAAAAAAAACAGAAAACTAAACGTTTTTGGATTAAACTCTTATACAAAAATAGATTACAGGCTGGGAACAGATTGAAGAGTTGTGCTTCGATGACGAAAAAAAAATTTCACTCGAATGAGTAAAATCGAATTTGACAATGTGTGTTCTCTCATAAACGCCAAAATAAGGTGACTCTAGTCGACATTATTTCCATAGAAATTTCGGAGGGGTTTTACTCCGCTGTTTGACAGTGTACATCCAAAGTTAAACATGATATCGTTTTGTCTCATTATTAATTTTGTCTGTACCGAAACAGAATAGTAAAATAAAAAGTCAGTAAAAAGTTACGAGCTACCAAAGATTCGTTTTTATTGCCAATTTTAACACAACTTTGGGCGTAAATTAGTAATAAAAGCAGTGTAAAATTTCCAAAACAAAGTCGGTACCGACACAGCTCAATTATCGAAGAATTCAATAAATTTTATTGGTAATTGATTCATGCAGTGGGTTTTTCACAAAACCCCTCCTTCCAAAGGCCTTTTCGTATTTTTTACGCGCGCGTGTTTATATGAATTATCGTGCATCTCACTGAATAATTTTTCCCTCAGTGCGGTGCGGGAGGACGACACTTACACACACATACATGCGCGGTGACGCGCGCTTATTCTAGTTTTATTCGACGTCATTGTCAGCTGCGGCCTGTGACGTTCGTATGATTAAAGCTATACCTGCGCTCTAAATTACTACGCTACATTGACCCCTGCTTGAACTTTGGATAAATCAAATTGATATAAGCACAGACAAAAATAGGGGAATATATAAATAAAATTTTGAAAAAGAAAACGATCTCAAAATTTTATTAATGTTCCGCTAATTTTATCTGTACTTACCTATGTCAATTTGATTTACATTCGATTATAATTATATTCTCAGACGTGCAGGTTTCCTCAATATGTTTTCCTTCACCGCCGAGCACGTGGTAAATCAGCACAATTGCAATTAACAATTTCATTGATACCGGCGGGGATCGAACTCGGGTCTGCATGTCTGAGAAATTAAAAAATATATATTTCGAAGAAATGTGAAGTTCGTCAACACGCATTGAGGCAGCGTGGCGGACATTTCCTTGCCTTAAAACCCTCTCAGAAATTAGAGGAGGCCTGTGCCCAGCAGTGGGACGTATATAGGCTGTAACTTTACTTTTTTTTTACTTTTATAAATATGTTATTTTACTGACGAAAATTTTAAAGAAAAATAAAAAATAAGCAACCGACAACCTCCTAAGTCCCTAGGTGACTTGCGAGATGTCAGTGTAACAAAACAAAACGGCCCAGAAAAACAGACTTTCCAACTGATAGCTAAATCAGCACGCAACAATTTCATTGGTGCCAGTGGGGATTGAACCCGGGTTGCTCCCGTACTGTGATACCTATAACGAGCGCTAACCATGTGAGCTACCACGGCTCTCAACGACATCGTTCCGTTCGTGTACAGCGCTGAAGATAGCAGAGTAAAAAATTAGAGATTGTGGTGTTTGAAATTTTAAAAAATGTGTTTTTGTTACTAGTACTTTCATATGCATTTAATAAAAAGCTGTTATTTTAACATTACAAACAGACACTTAAATTTTATTTATTTGTAGATATAGATATAAGATATTATTCATATTGGTGTCATTTTAAAGGGAATATCATGTACTATTATAATAATTAAATAATTCTCAAATAAATACGATTTCTTAAATTTATGCGAACACTACACATTGAATAAAACTATTATTTACGGATTTTATCGCGTTTAATTACTTTAATTTATTTTTATTATTATCCCGACGTTTCGGGTGCTTTACAGCGCCCATGGTCCCCCCCGTGACCATGGGCGCTGTAAAGCACCCGAAACGTCGGGATAATAATAAAAATAAATTAAAGTAATTAAACGCGATAAAATCCGTAAATAATAGTTTTATTCAAATAAATACGATTTATTTTTATATTCCCATATGCTTTATTTTCATCCTTTATTTTTTATTTGACCAATTTTCTTTTAACAAAATTAAATTCTGAATTGGTTGAGCTTTTTGAGAATATTTTTATTTGAATGTTAGGTAGGTACCTATTTAGTTTTTCAGTAGTAATCGCTTTTGCCTACCTGCTACTACCTGCCTAAGTACGTCGGTACTAAGGAAACAGTCTTGACGGGTCACTTGTCTTGATAAAAACATGTGTTTACATCTAGTGATATTGTGTGTATATAAAAAAAGTAAGAAGACAGGTAAGTATTTTTGAAAACAATTTATAGGTAGGCAGAACTAATTACAATTATTATCTAAATATTATAAATGCGAAAGTTTGGATGGATAGATGTATGTTACTCAATCACGCCAGAACAGCTGAAGGGATCTGGATGATATTTAGCTCAGAGATAGGTTATACCTGGTCTGGAATAACACATTTTTTGATACCGTTTATTCAGGTATTTCGTTCCTGTGGGATAATTTTCGAGTTCACGCGTTTGAAGCCGCTGGCAACAGCTAGTACGGATATAAATTGCGATGACTGTTCCAGTTCATGCTTCGGCGTCGTGAACTCTTGAGTGATCGCTGCATGACCACCCGGGGAAAACAAAACATAATAAAATAAGCAATCTATATTAGGTATCTATAGAGCCATAGAGGTATAGTATAAAGCGATAACGTAGCGCAGTGCCTAATAATTTAGTACGAGAAATCAGCAGTACCTACCTACAAAGGTAGGTACTGCTGATTTCTCAGCAAGCGTCGAGCGGCACAGAATAGGGTGGTATGTATGTGTGCATCGTGTTCGTGTAACTTCGTTTTTGTTCTAACGGTTCGGAACGCCGTACGAACAAGACGTGCGTTCTAACTGCTCTTCACTGGTACTATCTCTGTCGGGCACGATGCCAGGTGAGACAACGTGCTTTTTGGCCGCGCCCACCAATGAGTTCGAGCCCGCGACTTGAGCCACCATAAGCAAGAAGGACACACATTTTCGAGAAGCAATATCCGCTAGGAAAGATTATTAGTGACGTTGAGATTTTTGACCACAGGAGATTCTTATACCAGTCTACAGTATCTATTTCGTATATCAAAACAAATGATATCGGTTATAGTTCCTGAGGTCTGTGATCTATAATTGAGGTGTTAAAGGATTATGTTAAGGTAAAATAAAATTACATATTTTTATTATTTTTTTATTAATCGAATTAGAAAATTTGTCAAATAATATAAGAAAATTAAACAAACAAATATTTAATGATGAGGAGCTGGAGAAGGAGGAGAGGGAGGCATTGGTGAGGCGCAGGCATCGGTGAGGTAGGAGGCATCAGTGAGGTAGGAGGCATGAGCGAGGCAAGAGGCATCGGTGAAGTAGGAGGCATCAGTGAGGTAGGAGGCATGGGCGAGGCAAGAGGCATCGGTGAAGTAGGGGGCATCAATGAGGTAGGAGGCATCGGTGAAGTAGAAGGCATTGGTGAGGCAGCAGGCATCGAATATGTAGATGGCGTCGATGAGGACGAGGGATGAGACATATATCTTAAATTGTCGTGTTCACCATATGATTGAGTATAATAACCATAACCACTGTATGCTCCCATGTCTGCATCAAAGATAATTTTATTTATTGCATTTTTTACGTATGCTAATGTAATTTTATCATATTTTCTCAACTCTTTTCCTATATATTGGCCATACACATTATAGGGATCATTTTTTTCCCGATATATTATCGCTTGCACATTGTTGTAAAAGTGTTAATGCTTCAGATATGGTGTTATCAGTAAGATCATCACTTTCGTTCATTTTGGATCTCTTTTTAGGTCTAGTTGACTTTTGTTTAGGTCCTTCAGTTATCGTTGAGTTTGAAGTTTCATTTCTTTGTTCGTTATTACCGTCATCATTTCGAGTATTATCCAGACATGCATTCTGTAAAGATAGGAAAAATTATTACTTAATTTTATTTACAGATACCATCATCCGAAGAAGAGTGGCTTACCATAGCGAAAGAGTTTGAGAGCAAATGGAATTTCCCACATGTCATAGGAGCAATGGATGGGAAGCATGTTATATTACAGTCGCCGATAAATAGTGGCAATGATTATGACTGTTACAAAATGTTTCCAAGTATAGTGCTGTTTGCTTTAGTTGACGCTAACTATTTTCTGTACGTAGACGTTGGCAGCAAGGGACGTATATCAGATGGCGGTGTGTTTAAAAACACCAATTTATATAAAAAGGTCGAAAAGAAGGAATTGAACATTCCTCCGCCAGAAATATTACAAATACCGTATAAAATTGCAGTGCCCTATTTTATTCTAGACGATAAAGCTTTTGCTATCAATGAGTACACATTGAAACCTTATGAAGGTACTCCAGAAAGAGGTTCAATGGAAAGGATTTTCAATTACAGGCTGTCCAGAGCAAGAACAGTTGTGGAGAATGCCTTTGACATTTTAAGCTCCGTTTTTAGAGTACTGAGGAAGCCGCTACTATTAGAACCAGAAAAAGCTACGAAAGCAAGAAATCAAGCTTCCTCACAAAGGTTCACTCCCCCAGGATCATTCGATGCCGTTAAAGGGACAGTAATACCCGGCCGATGGCGACAGGATACAGAAATCTCATCAATGGCATCTATTCAAGCCATACCACGGCGAGGATCAACAAATATAAAAGAAATACGTTCACATTTAGGGAGACATTTCATAACAAACGGAGCAATTTCTTGGCAGAATAATTATCAGTAAATGTACTCACTTTTTCACCTAAAGTATCTTGTGTATTTCCTGGGTGATTTCTGTCTCCCAGAAAACTGAAGGCTTCATAGGCATACCAATTCGAAACATATATTTCACCACGACCTGCAGTATAAAATAAAAAAAAATATTAGAAATTATATAAAAACCGGTGTAACTTTGGATATAATAAAATGAATGTTGTTAACCCTAATCATAAACATTAAATAATAAATATCTGATCCTGTGATTCGGCTTTTCTTTTGTCTCGACTTTTCCCTCCTGTAAAACCCTAGTAAAGAGTCCATTTTTTTCTTTAATTCCGCTATTGGAAGGTTCATTTCCTGGCTTATTTTTCTCCATGCATCTTCCCTTAGTCCTCTATTTGTGTAATCAGGACATTGCGCATCCCAAAGTCGTCTATATTCACCATACAGTTGTATTAATTTAAGACACTGTTCTTTATCCATGACGCACAACTAACACGCAACGAATAAGCGAGGCAAAATACTACCGTCTTGAGTTAGCGCGGCAAACGTACTGAAGCGCCTTTGAGCATCGACAAAAACCGACAACGCTCGGCTCGGGCCGCGGCACGCTCGGGCGAGGCAGCGCGTGCGTTTGCCTCGGGCGAGGCACGTCTTGACCGACCGAGGATTTGCCTCGCGAGGCGGTTCGCTCAATCAGTACTCGGCTAATAACTGAGTGTCCATAATAGCCACGCGGGCGCGGGGCGGACGCGGCGGCGGTCGCAGGCATGTTGGCGTGGGAAGCGCGCGAAAATGTTTTTTACCTCAGATTTTCCCAGATTTCCTCTCCATGCTTTACTAGGGCGGCCGTCTAAATATAGCACGTATTATTTTACACGAATGGTGCGCTTCGACCGGGGAAGGTCCACGCTCTCACAGAATACCAGCGTAATATAGCTTAATGCTGCTGTGTTTCGTATGGTGAGAGTAGAGAACCGGAGACACTTTTTACTGGAAACGAGTCATTCCATCTTAGTCCTGACCTGATCAGTGACCGCCAATACGGTTTCTGTCGTGGTCGATCATGGTGATCTTTTGGTCTACCTTACTCATAGATGGGCGGAGGCAGTAGAGTCCAAGGCAAAGGCCTTCGATCGGGTCTGGCATAAAGCGCTTCTTTCGAAGCTCCCTTCCTATGGGCTTCCCGAGAAATTGTGCGTTTGGATCACTAGTTTTCTTGCTAATCGGAGCATCAAGGTCGTAGTAGACGGTGCATGCTCTGATTACAAGCTTATTAACGCTGGTGTTCCACAAGGATTCGTGTTTGACCAACGATGTTTCTTATGCATATCAATGATATGTTGTAAACTGATAACATTCATTGCTATTCAGACGACAGCACTGGTGATGCCTTATACACCGGCCGTGCCAATATTTCTCGAGAAATCGTCGTCGAGTACCCGGACAAACTTGTGTCTGAAGTCGAGTCTTTGCTTAACAAAGTCTCGGATTGGGTACGACTAAATCTAATCCAATTCAATCCCCAGAAGACACAAGTTTGCGTGTTAAGCGCTAAAAAAAACCCTTTTGTCATATCTACTCAGTTTGAAGGCCCTTTCTGCCTCAGCTAGCATCAGAATCCTCGGCGTCGACATATCGAATAGTGTGCAGTTTCATGGTCACTTGGAGGGGAAGGTCAAATTGGCCTCTGAAAAGCTTGACGTGCTCAGCAGAGCGAGACAGTATTTCATGCCGGCATATGGCTTGCAACTTTACAAAGCGCAAGTTCGGCCTCACATGGAATACTGTTCTCATCTCTGGGCCGGGGCATCCCAGTGCCAGCTCCTTCCACTTGACCGCATCCAGCGCAGAGCGATTCGAATCGTCGACGACCGAGTTCTTCTTGATCGGCTCGACTCACTGGCGCTGCGTAGGGATGTTGCATCCCTTTGCGTTTTCTATCGTATCCACCATGGGGTGTTCTGAGGGATTGTTCGGATTAGTTCCAGCCAACAAATTTCACGAACGCACATCATGTCAAAATTCCCGATACCATCCTCACCATCTGGATGCTTGGCGGTCCACTACTGTACGTTTTAATAGGAGTTTTCTTCCTCGTACAATTTCTCTGTGGAGTTGTTTGCCACCGGCGACTTTTCCGGACCGATACGACTTGAGGACCTTCAAGAAAAGAGCTTACTCATTTCTAAAAGGCCGGCAACGCATCTGCAATTCCCCTGGCATTGCGGTTGTTCATAGGCGGCGTTAGTCACTCACCATCAGGTGAGCCACTTACTCGTTTGCCCCTCTTCTATAAAAAAATTGTCCTCACGGGTGACAACGCATCTGTATTTTGATTTGTAATCGAAGATAGATGTAGATGTTTATGGGCCACAGCAACCACTTACCATCAGGTGGACTGTGTGCTCATTTGTCACCCTATCCTATAAAAAAAGCAGAGGATTTTACCAGTATTTCCCTTCGCCTATAACGCCTATAACGACACCCACGGACTTTTAGAATGGTAGGTCTGGAGATAGCTTGGGAGTATGTTGTCAAGAACATCTCGAGACTGTCGATATAAGTTGAAAATTGATAGTGAAAGAAAAAAATTGACTTATTTCCATATTTTATTACTATATACTAATAAAAACAAATTAAACAATTCACTATTTAGGTAGTGGTATTTTTTCCAATTCTTCAGCTTGTTCAGGTATCAATGCTTCACAAGGTTTTTTCCAGTGAAATTCCACCCATGGAAGTCTATCCAATCCCGTAGCCCAATGATGAATCCTACACCTTACATTAACTTCTTCAGTGTTATTAATCTGAAATATTTTAATAAATTTAACAAACGTTACCCTGGTAATGGTCGTTTTTGATATCATCTCCAGGCATACAAGTTGAAACTATTTTTTGTTAGTCTGGACTGTGGATACTTTTATTTGGCATGTACGTTGATTATACTGCCATCTATCGAACACTTATACATGTTCTCTCTAACACAGTAGTAAGTCTTTAAGTACACAAGATTTCACAATCATTTTTAGTTTGCCATATGAAAATGGAAATCATGAAAGTGTGAAGTATTCCTTCACTCGTATTATTTATACCGGTACGAGTGAGTGAGAGAGTTCGCCCGTAGTAGTCACTCGTACTAGTTACTAACTAGTATGAGTGAAGAAATACTTCATGTTTATTTCAATCAAAAGCTCTTAGAAAATAAATCATGTACATATATTTCTATCAAGTAGATCACCTGATGCCAAGATGTTGAAGTTGATGATAAAGTTCTTCTTACTTGTACCATACTACAACTACTACTCTAATTCAATGACGACAAAAATTTAGATATTTTACGGAAATGGCCACTAAACTTGGTGTCGAAGCAATGTGACAGCATTTTTAGGCAATGCAATTCAGTAAGAATAATTATTTTATTTATGCAGTTCTTTCAATATTCTAATATTAAAAAATATTCCCGTAAAATGTAAAGAGGTGTTTGAATTGAATTTAGAAACTTATATGGCAACACTTCAGTTCGCAAAGGCGGCGATTGGGAGCAGCGCTGAAGCCCGATCACTGGTATCCGGTATCACTTATTAATTTGTTGTTTGATATATGATGGTTAGAAAATATAATTATTTATAGCTCAGAGGCTCAATCTCTCAACAAGACATAAATACGACAGATATAAAGCAGAGATATTTAGGAAGTCGATGGATACAAGAGGTTTAAGACCATGCTTTCTGGTATTCTTTAAGGGAGGCGTATATTCAGCAGTGGACATGTGAAGGGCTGATGATGATAATGATGAAAGATTAAGATTTTGACTATTTGCGTTCTTTTTTATATTTTTAATGTCCTTACGGCACTCACGACACTTACGCCGACACT